AGTCGAGGCAAAATGGCCCCAGAGCTGATTAGGCAGCGGCAGGCAGTCGGTAAGAACACAAGAGCCCCATCAGAGCTGACGCTTCTATGGTAGTGCACACCAAGAAGACTAAGCTAATAACTCCTATAGCGCAGTGATGGCGAACCTTTTAGAGACCGAGTGCCCAAACTGCGACCCAAAACCCACTTATTTATCGCAAAGTGCCAACACGGCAATTTAACCTGAATACTGAGGTTTTACTTTAGAAAAAACAACTCATACATTAACTTAAGATGATCCAAACAAAGTAAGGAAAGCAATCCGAAATGCTTTCGTTTACTTAAAATTATTTGGCAGAGAATTCGGCACTTTAACGATGGTCTGGGCCTGGCTGGGGCGATGGCACGCGTGCCCACAGAGAGGGCTCTGAGTGCCACCTCTGGCACCCGGGACATAGGTTCGCCACCACTGCTATAGCCCAGGCTGATCCTGCACTGAGCAGGGGGTTGATGACCTCTATGGCCCCTTCCAGCTCTGTGATTCTATGATTCTATAACAGATTTTGGGGAGATGTAGTTAACCGAATTAAATTAATGATGGGATACGGGGTCCCTAAACGTTCTTGAGCCTGTGGACACCTTAGGAATGCTGGCACCACACAGTCGTCACAGCCACAGGATGGCTGTCGCAGGAGATGGAACCGGCTACGAAGTTACACAGTCAGGTGTGGTGGCAGCGGCCACCAAAGCAAAGTTCTTTAAAAATCCGCAGACCCATTCGAATTGCCAGCAGCCAATCAGAAGCCTTGCTGGACCAAAGCACCGCCAGGCCCTGCCCACCTTCTAGAAACACTTTCCCAACCCTATCAGTAAGGGAGTCGGCAACCCCTCTCGCCACGGATGGTAGGCTCACCTGAATCCTCTAGGGCTGTCTTTGTCTGTGCCAACTTTACGAAGAGCTGGAAGGGAAGGGGGGAAAAATAGAGAATAACCGTGTTAGGACAAGTCAGGCTAGAACCTGGTGGAAGGAACAGCTCCGGAGGTGCTCCTCGGCAGGGGTCATTTCGTAGAAAAAGAGGTGCGGGGCTCATTAGCATAACTCATTTGCATAGGCCACACCCCCTGACATCACCGGAAGTGTGTCAGAAGGCAACACCCACTGCTCAGGCTCCACTGGACTGTTTTGGGTTGCTAGCTATTGGGGGGGGAGCGTGCAGATCTGTCCTCGCAGAGGAGGGAGAGCTTGTACCTGAATAAAACTTGGTCTTAAAGGTGCCACTGACGGGGCTTGTTTGGACCGGGGGGGGGGGTTCTGCAGCTTACCTAGCTGCTTCTTGCTCTGACTGAGGGCTGCTGGGAGCAAGGGGTGGGGCTTGTTGCGTGTGCCCGCCCCCTGGGCTCTTTACTGCCGGAGTTCCACTCCTGTGCGCTCCTGCAGGAAATGACCCCTGTTCCTCGGACCTTTAACGGACCTTGGGAATGTCTGCGCACCCAAGGAATCGTCAGAATTGCCTGCAGAAGATCTCTTTCCACTGGGGCTACAGGGTTGCCAGATCCTCGCTGGGGAGGAAAGACCCTGACCCCTGGGAAAGTACCAGGGGTCATTTCCTGCAGGAGTGCACAGGAGCGGAGCTACGGCAATAAAGAGTCCTGGGGATGGGCACATGCAACAAGTCCCGCCCCCTGCTCCCAGCAGCCCTCAGTCAGAGCAAGAAGCAGCCAGGTAAGTTGTGGAGTCCCCCCCCCCGGCCCAAAACAGTCCAGTGGCACCTTTGAGACCAAGTTTTATTCAGGTACAAGCTCTCCCTCCTCTGCGAGGACAGATCTGCACGTTTCCCCCCCCCCAATAGCTTGCAATCCAAAACAGTCCAGTGGAGCCTGAGCGGTGGGTGTTGCCTTCTGACACACTTCCGGTGATGTCAGGGGGCGTGGCATAATGCAAATAAGTTATGCTAATGAGTTATGCTAATGAGCTCCCGCACCTCTTTTTCTACGAAATGACCCCTGGAAAGTACTATATATCATCACCCTGGTGATTCTCCTCCATCCTCATTTAAAAGGAGACATATCCACGGACTACAACTTGCTGTCAGTTTCATACCACTTTCTTGAATCATCATGGCTTCCCCCAAAGAATTCTGGGGAATACAGTTTGGGGAGGGACAAAGATTACTCCACGTTAGAGAGGCCTAGACTTGCATAACAGAACTACAGTTCCCAGAATTCCCTTGGGAGTGAAACTTCTTTGGGCTCAGAGCAGGTACCTCTAGAGATAATACTGGGGAGAGCAGGGTTGCCTACTCCAAACTGGGAAATTCCTGGAGATTTCGGTGATGGAGCCAAAGGAAGGTGGGGTTTGAGGAGGGAGAAACCCCAGTGAAATATAATGCGCCATAGAGTCAACACTTCCTCTAAGCTGCGGAGTCTTGTGAGCAAAAATTCTGCTTTGTGAGCTACTGGCATTCAAGCTGTGAGCGAGCGGTTAGGCTACTGCATAAATTTTGTTTGCTCTGGAGCCCATCCTTCCTGGGCTGAGACAAAAATGTGTGAGCCGGAGGCTAAAAAACTGGGACCTAGCTCACACTAACTCAGCTTAGAGGGAACACTGGAGTCCACCCTCCAATGCAGTCATTTCCTCCAGGCCAACTGATCCCTGCTTTCTTGCTTTCGAACTGCTAGGCTGGCAGGGGCTGGGACCAGAGACGGGAGCTCACTCCATCTTGCAGCACTCGGGTCTCGAACTGCTGAACTACCAACCTTCCAGTCGGCAGTTCAACGTCTTAACCACTTGGATCCGGAAAATTACAGGCCAGTCAGTCTGACGTCGATACCGGGTAAGTTGGTGGAAACTGTTATTAAGGAAATAATTAGTAGGCAGATTGATGACCCATCTAGACCTCCTGATGGCACCTGATATTTTGGACCTCCTGATGGCACCTGGTATTTTTAGCCACTGTGTGACCGAGTGTTGGACTGGATGGGCCATTGGCCTGATCCAACATTGGCTTTTCTTATGTTCTTATGTTCTTCTTTCCCTTCCCCTCCCCACAACAGACACCATGTGAGGTAGGTGGGGCTGGGAGAGCTCTCCTGAGAACTTCCCTTGAGAGAACAGCTCCGAGAGAACTCGTGACTGACCCAAGGTCACACCAGCAGCTGCATATGGAGAAGTGGGGAATCAAACCCGGTTCCTCCCAGATTAGAGTCCGCGCTCCCAACCACTACACTGAACTGGACAGATTAGTATAGAAACCACAGACTGTAGCTACAGCTTATCCTTGCTTGCTGCGGGTTCTACCAACGCGCACAGCCCCGAGGCGAGTCCCCTCCTTGGCGGTCTTGCCTCAGTTACCTTTTCTTGTTGTTTCGGGGTGACCAGATTGGTGCTACGGTGAACTGCCTGCTCCGCCTCGTCCTTGTCCCGGCACCGCTGTTCATAGAGTCTCTTTGCCTAGAAAAGCCACAGCAAGCGGGTCCTGAAAGGGTGTCTTCACATTACGGTTGCCAACCTCTTGGTAGGGCCTGGAGCATACCTGGAATAACCAAGGGTCTCCAGACTGCAGAGATCAGCTCCCCAGGAGATGATGGCTTATTTATTTATTATCATATTTATATCCCGCCCATCCTGTGGACGGGCTCAGGGCGGCTCACATATGCCGGCACAATATGGCCGGTTGGCAGAAGCATTTAAAACAGTTAAAACAACGATACAGCAACCTTTAAAGTGCTCGCAACAGCGATCCATCAATAAATCAAACAGCGTACTATGAGATTATATACTCAAATCCTGACTTAATGGTTGTCCGGTCTCCCATGGTATTATGGCCCGATCTCCTAACAGGGCTGACCCGTTGCCACAGGTGTCAGTGCTGGTAATAGTTGGTAGTAGTGGTAGGCGGATCCTAATTAAAAGCCTGGCGGAAGAGCTCCGTCTTACAGGCCCTGCGGTACAAGGTCCCGCAGGGCCCTGGTCTCTTCTGGGAGCTCATTCCACCAGTAAGGAGCCACCATCGAAAACGTAGCCACAAGCCTGGAATCCTAATTTATGCACACCCTCCTGCCACATACCAATCCTGTCTTACAATGACCTTCTGCCACATATGTGCATCACTGTTCCCTCTAAGCTGAGTTAGTGTCAGACAGCTCAGTTTTTTAGCCTTCAGCTCGCAGATTTTTTGTCTTAGCTGACGAAAGAGGGCTCCAGAGCAGACTAATTGATGCAGCAGCCAAATCGCTGGCCCACAACTTTAATGGCAGTAGCTCACAAAGTAGAACTTTTGCTCACAAGACTCCACAGCTTAGAGGGAGCACTGATGTGCATTATCTTGGCATTCAAGGCAAGAGGGATTCAGAGGTGCTTGGGGGGCAAACGTGAAAGGATTTCTGGAGTCCTGGCCTTGCCGGTAGACCTCCTGAAGGCACCTGGGTTTTGGGCACTGTGTGACACAGAGTGTTGGACGGGATGGGCCACTGATCCGACATGGCTTCTCTTATGTTCTTAAGAGGTCCATGAGTGGCTATTAGCCACAACATCTAGATGGAATGCCCTGTCTGGGGCAGCGATGCTCTGTATTCTTGGTTCTTGTGGGGGAAACAGTGGGAGGGCTTCAGTAGTTCTGGGCCTGCTGGTGGACCTCCTGATGGCACCTGGGTTTTGGGCACTGTGTGACCCAGAGCACTGTCCTGGGTAGGCCATTGGCCTGACCCGACATGGCTTCTCTTATGTTCTTAGGTGGTTTGCCATTGCTTGCCTCTGTGTAGCAACCCTGGACTTTTTTGATGGTCCCGGATCCAAGATCTAATCAGGGCCAACGCTGCTTAGGAGATGTGGCTAGCCTGGGCCATCCAGGTCAAGGTAAAAACACTGTCCTGGGTAGGCCATTGGCCTGACCCAACATGGCTTCTCTTATGTTCTTAGGTGGTTTGCCATTGCTTGCCTCTGTGTAGCAACCCTGGATTTTTTTGATGGTTCCGGATCCAAGATCTGATCAGGGCCAACGCAGCTTAGGAGATGTGGCTAGCCTGGGACATCCAGGTCAAAATGAAAACACCACACGCCTCTAAGCCACCTACAAACATTACGGACAAGTGATCTTACTTGATACAACCTCGTTATTTTAAGAAGAAGAAGAAGAGACTGGATTTATACCCCGCCCTTCACTACCCAAGGGAGTCTCAGAGCGGCTTACAAACTCGTTTCCCTTCCCCTCCCCACAACAGACACCCTGTGAGGTAAAAGAAGAAGAAGAAGAGATTGGATTTATACCCTGCCCTTCACTACCCAAAGGTGTCTCAGAGCGGCTTACAAACTCCTTTCTCTCCCCCTCCCCACAACAGGCACCCTGTGAGGTAAAAGAAGAAGAAGAAGAGATTGGATTTATACCCTGCCCTTCACTACCCAAAGGTGTCTCAGAGCGGCTTACAAACTCCTTTCTCTCCCCCTCCCCACAACAGGCACCCTGTGAGGTAAAAGAAGAAGAAGAAGAGATTGGATTTATACCCTGCCCTTCACTACCCAAAGGTGTCTCAGAGCGGCTTACAAACTCCTTCCCCTCCCCACAACAGACACGCTGTGAGGTAGGTGGGGCTGAGAGAACTCTTTCCAGAATTGTCCTTGCTGCTTGCCCAAGGTCATCCAGCCGGGTGCAAGTGGAGGAGTGGGGAATCAAACCTGCTTCTCCCAGATTAGAGTCCACGCACTTAACCACTGCACCAAACTGGCTACACCAAACTGCCCGTGGGAAGGGTTACTCACTTCCATGGTTTTTTTGTACTGCAGATTCCGGTTTTTATGAATAGCGTCCATTATCAGCTCAATCTGCAGAGAAAAGTACCAGTGTTAGTCTGTTCTGCTCAGCAGAAGCACAGGAACGAGAAAGCAAACAACTGTGAAAGAAAAGCTTCCAGAGTGTGTTTCCCCCCCCCCTTTTAAAAATACCCGCCTGGGAGCAAGAAAAGGAACTAGGGTGGCCCGTCACTCACACCGCCTTGCAAAACGGAACCGCCACTGACTTCCTTGTGACGGACTTCTGTGAGCCAAGCCCGCTGGCTCTTTTGCAAAACCACAGCCAGATCTGGATTCTACAGAATCACAGCTTATTTATAAAAAAGGGATTATAACACCAGGCGGAAGAACACCGCCCAGGGTGGGCCAGTCAGGCATGCAGAAAAACACAGCCGCTGTAACCCCCCTGCCACAAGCATCGCTTGAATGCTTGCTTCCTTTCCCTCGTTCTGCAACAACGAGGGCTAGAGACTTAGCTTTGTATTCGGCACGAGTCAAGGTTCCCTGGGATTTTGTCCCAGATAAGAAATCCCAGACAGAATTCTGTGCATGGCAGCCTCCAGGTGGGACCCGGGCAGTGTTCCCTCTGAGCTGAGTTAGTGTGAGCCAGCTCACAGTTTTGTAGCCTCCGGCTCACACATGTTTGTCTTAGCCCAGGAAGGATGGCTTGAGAGCAATCTAATTGATGCAGTAGCCAAATGGCTCGCTCACAACTTTAATGCCAGTAGCTCACAAAGTAGAACTTTTGCTCACAAGACTCCACAGCTTAGAGGGAGCATTGGACCCGGGGATCCCCCAGAATCCCAGCTCACCTCTAGATTCCAGAGATCGGTTCCCCTGGAGAAAATGGATGCCTTGGAGGGTGGACTCTGTGGCACGGTACCCCCCACTGAGGTCCCTGTCCTCATAAGAACATAAGAACAATGTTGGATCAGGCCAAAGGCCCATCCAGTCCAACACTCTGTGTCACACAGTGGCCAGAAAGACCAGGTGGCCTCAGGAGGTCCACCAGTGGGGCCAGGACACTAAAAGCCCTCCCTCTGTTGACCCCCCCCCCCAAGCACCAAGAAGACACAGCATCACTTGCCCCAGAGCCCCTATCTATGCCTTGTGGCTAATAGCCACTGATGGACCTCTGCTCCATATGCTTATCTAATTCCCTTTTGAAGCTGTCCATGCTTGTAGCCGCCACCACTTCCTGTGGCAGTGAATTCCATGTGTTAATCACTCTTTGGATGGACACTAATCCGGGAGAACTGGGTTTGATTCCCCACTCCTCCACTTGCACCTGGCTGGATGACCTTGGGCAAGCCATAGTCCTGGTACAGCTGTTTTTGAAAAAAGAGCAGTTTCTGTCAGAGCTCTCTCAGCCCCACCCATCTCACAGGGTGTCTGTTGTAGGGAGGGGAAGGAAAAGGAGTTTGTAAGCCGCTCTGAGACACCTTTGGGTAGTGAAGGACGGGGTATAAATCCAATCTCTTCTTCTTCTCTTCATAGGGTCGGAAGGCGCTGTAGAGGCCATCTAGTCCAACCCCCTGATCAATGCAGGATCAGCATTCCTGACAAGTGTTCGTCCGGCCGCTGCTGGAAGACTGCCAGGGAGGGGGAGCTCACCACCTCCCTAGGCAGCTGACTCCACCGTGGCACAACTCTGACTGTCCAAAAGATTTTCCTCATATCCAGCCAGTATCTTCCAGCCCTTAAACCCATTATTTCGAGCTCTTTACTCCGCTGCCCACAGGAACAGCTCCCTGCCCTCCTGTAAGTGACAGCCATTCAAATACTTCAAGAGAGCAATCCTGTCCCCCCTCAACCTTGTTGTCTTCTCCAGACTGAACATCGCCAAGTCCCTCAGCCTTTCCTCACAGGGCTTGGTCTCCAGGCCCCTGATCATCCTCGTCGCTCTCCTCTGCACCCGCTCTGGTCTGTCCACATCCTTTTGGAAGCGAGGCCTCCAGAACCCATCCCCCATCTCCAAATCTCCAGGAGTTTCCCAACCTGGATCTGGCAACCCTACCCCCCTATCCCCTGCTGGTGGCTGGGGGGGGGGATGGGGGACCTGGTATTCCTGATGTGGGACAGTGGAATCCACTGCACCAATGTTCAGTTTTGTCGAGAAAGGCAATTACCACAGCCCTACCCCCAAAAGCAACATTTAAGAATTGTAGCCAGGGTTGCCAACTTTGAGGGGACAAAATTCCTGGAGATTTGGAGATGGAGCCTGGGGAGGGCAGGGTTGGGAAATGAGAGACCTCATTGGGGCACAACGCCACGGAATTTGCCCATCAAAGTAGCCATTTTCTTCGGGGGAACCAATCTCCGTAGCCTGGAGATCAGTTATGATTCTGGGAACTGGTCTCTGTAGTCCGGAGACGGGTCTGAAGATCCCCCAGGCTCCCCACGGAGTCTGGCAACCCCCGGTTACATCATTTCCTTGAAATGCAAACAGAAGCATCACCGCAAACAAGGAAGTCGTCAACTGCTGCGGAGGTTCCGCCCCCCCCCCCCCTTATTACCGTGCTGAAGAGATAAACTTTGGACTGGGCTGTTTTCCAGGGAGGGGTCAGTGTAAAAGGAACAAGGAAACTGTCACAGGCACGCACAAAATTCTGTGCTGTCAGACCTGCAGCCGCTGAGGAACTAAGTGCTTTGGGGACAACTGAACAGGTTTTTTAAATGAAGGCTCCTATTGTTGTTTGGGGCCGGCTGACGTAATCAGCAAACGGGAATCGCCACGGGCGTGATGGTTGACTACCCAGGCCAAGATAGTTCCAGGTGCGGGTAGCCGTGTTGGTCTGAAGCAGCGGACCAAAGTTCAAGTCCAGCGGCACCTTTAAGACCAACAAAGCCTAATTCAAGGTGTGGTGGAACAGGCCCGCTCCAGCCTGTAGGCCTAGTTCCACCCTGCCCTCCAAGGTTTCCCCAACACCCGGGGAGGCTTCTCTTTTTCTCTCCATTAGCTCGCTGCCAACAGCAGACCTTTGCATGGAACTGCCCACTGGGAGAATCGGGACTCCTGGTCTCCCTTCCCAGTGCTGAGGCCTTGCCTCTGTGTCTCCCGCTGTCCAGCGCCTGGTCGCCACGGGGACCGTTTACTGCCTCGTGCGCCCCTTGAGGAATAGCCACTTGCCAGCTGCTGGCCTTCCCGCTGGTGCTCCTTTTAAAAATACTGTGTCCAAGATGGTGGAGGTCTACATGGTACAGAGAACCACTGCCAGCATCCAAAGTTATAAAGTATTTATTAAAACTAAAAATATTCACAAGCATACTTCTAGCACAGCACCAGACTGAGCAAGGGATTCAAAAGAAATGAGTAGAACGCAAATCCTCTGTCCCTCTCTCTACACATGCCCTATCAGATGTTAAAATACAGGACAGGCTCCTTAGCTTAGGATGCTATAGATCTCTACAGAGGTACCAATACCTTGCAGCTTCCTCCAGATCTTCAGGCCAGTACATGGGTAATGGCTGCCTCCTCCAGACCTCAGTTAAGAGTTTTGTCTGCTCTGATGGACTCAGTACCCAATGATACCTTCCTCCTTGCTCCCCTGAGTTTTATCACCTCTCTTTTCCCCACCCACTGACCAGGTCAGGCTAGGTCAGAGAAGCTTTTCCCAGAGATTATTCAGGAATTCCTTCCTAAAGTCACTCTAGTATTTAACATCTCCAAGTCTCTGTTCCCTGCTTGAAGGGGGGAGTTTGACCATCCCATTGTCTAGACCTATTAGCATTTGTATGCAGGTGATCTGAGATAAGTCTGGAAGGCAATTGAATTGACTTCCACTCTTCCTGTCTGTTCCCTGCCCAGAGAGGGGGAAAAAACCTTTAAAACTCAGAGTAAAGGTTTTGCTCATTTCAGACCTCCACAGGAAAAAATGCATTTCTCCACACAAGGCATAAGCTTCCGTGTGCGTGCGCACAAAAGCTTATACCTTGAATAAAACTTTGTTGGTCTTAAAGGTGCCACTGGGTTCAAACTTTGTTCCACACACACCAAAACACACAGAGGACATAACCTGCGACGTGGGTGGGAAAATCAGGGGACCGGCCATAAGCGTACATGAACTGTGACACATTCCTGAACCCTGACTGTTCCCTGGAAGGCCAGATAATGAAACTGAAGCTCAAATACTTTGGCCACCAAATGAGAAGGGAGCACTCACTGGAGAAGACCCTGATGCTGGGAAAGATTGAAGGTCAAAGAAGACGGGGAGGGCAAAGGATGAGATGGTTAGACAGTGTTATCAAGGCAATGAACATAAAATTGAGCAAACTCCAGAGGACGGCGGAAGACAGGAAGGCCTGGCGTGATCTGGTCCATGGGGTCGCGAAGAGTCGGACT